CGACCTCAAGGCGGCTGATGTTACTTGAGGGAGGAAGCGGAGGACTGGGCTTGGCAAGGAGGACGTCACTTAGACTGATCTCCCCCACGGTGTAGGCCGCATTCCAGAGCCGCACTCAGGACGAGCGGTCAGTGCTTCATGCTGGACACACGGGCGGAGGCACCCCAGCGCCTGCCCAGCAGCGGTGGAAACAGCGGAACTCGGTCTCGGAAAGTGTCGCCGGGTGGGCCTGTGGTTTTCAGAAGCAGGTGCTCTCAGGGCGGGCAAACGCGAGGTCATGGCTGGAGAGGCTTGTCAGGCAGTGAGGGAGCCCGCCCCGTTTCTGTCTCATTTCTCGAGAAACCGCGCAAGTCCTCGGTTGGAGTCACTCCCCCGTGGCTGCCACCGGCCCAAGCCACCCACTTGCTGTGCACACTTGAGCCCACGGCTTCACAGAGACGGCCACATGCACAGCAGCTCACACGCGAAGTGGGAGCCCCTGGCAAACGTTGGCTGTGCCGTCCCCGTCAGCAGGCGCCCCGTGCGTGGCCTGGCCGCTGGTGCTGCTCTCCACTTGCCCCGCACCGGCAGCACCCGTCTGGGTTTTTCCACTGTAGATGAGCTGATGTTTTTCAGTGTGTGGTGCTGAGTGATGGGCCACTCTGTGGTTGCACCCCAGCTTGCAGCGGGGTGGGGGTGCTTCCTGTTCTGCGTTGTTACAGCAAAGCTGCTGCGCACGTTGTGTGCGTATCGTGTGGCCTCAGCCTCACTGCCTCGGGTGGATGCCCCAGGGTGCAGCGGCCTGGCCTTCAGCCGTCTAAGGAAACTCCCGTGGAGGCGCCCCCACTCTGTTTGCCCACTGGCATGTGCGAAGTGCCCACCTCTCCGTCTTCAGCAACGCTCGGTCGGGTCAGTTCTTCTAACTCCGGCCGCTCCAGCGGGCGTTTCACTGTGACCTGGATTTGCGGGTCTCTGATGACGCGTGGACCTTATGTGCCATCTCGCTGTGCTGCTTTGCCATTGCACAGCCTTAGTGACCTGCTCAATTTTTTTCAAAATTGGGTTTTTTTAAATTTAATTTTGAGAGTCATTTATAATATATACAAGTCCTTTATGAGACATGTGGCTCGCAAATCCCAGGCTGTGGCTTGTTCTTTCAGGTCATGACGCACGCATCCTTCTGTGGGTCCTTTAGGTAGTTTCATGTTTTATATTTAGATTTGTTATCCATTTTGAATTGATTTTTGTGTATGGTACAAGTGTAGATCAAAGTTCATTTTCTTGCATATGGAGAGCAAATTTTACAGACTGTTTCTCCATGGAATCGCCTTTGCAGCTCTGTCAAAAATCAGCTGTGTGCACACATGTTGACCTGTTGCCAAGTCTGAACATACCTGGGTGTGTGTGTGTGTGCACGTGACACCAGACTGGCAGGTCACGGCTCCAGGATAAGCCTCGTCAGACAGCTTTACCTTTTACCTTTGTTCTGTCATACTTTTCACTGTTCTGAGTGCTCTGGATTTTCATATGAACATTAGAACCAGCTTGTCCATTTCTTGCCAGGTTGGTTTTGAGTCTGTAGATCCATGTGGGGAGAACTGACACTAAATAACTCCGGGTGTCCTGCCCCGAACAAGGTGCAGCTGCCCGTTTAGGGGCTCTTCTTTCATTCTGTCAGCAGTGTCTGTGGCTTTTCACGTTGGTCTTGCACACTCACAGCCAGGTTCATCCGTGATCATTCCACACGCAATCCCAGTCTGGTAACCTGTTGTCGGGGTACAGGAATGGTGGTTGGTTTTATTCATTGGTGTATTTCTCCTTGTCTCACGGCCGTGGCAGGACTCGCCAGGGAGTGTTGGCTGGAGTGGCGGCCGGTGCCCTTGTCTCCCCCCTACCCCCAGAAGTGCCCGCACTGTCATTGGTTAGTACCCTGTGTGTTGTCGGTTTCTCAAAGATGCCCTTTGTGAGGTTGAGGGAGGCCCCTTTTATCCCTAGTTTGCCGAGGTTTTTATCTGGAACAGATAGGGAATTTTATTCGATGCTTTTTGAGAAATTACTGTTAGAATGATCAGCGGTTCTTCTTTCTTTGGTTTGTTAATAACTAAGCAAACTCATGATGGATTCCATTGATTTTCAAACGGTAAGCCCATCCTGCATTCTTGGGATAAACCCTATTGGGTCCTGATGCGTTATCCTTTTTATCTGTTAAGGCAGTCAGCTTGCTGACATGTTGTTTAGAATCTTTCAGTTACATTCATACGGGATATTCATCTGTTTTTTTTCTTTTCTTGTAATGTTTTGGTGTCTCTCTATCAGGGTAATGCTGGCCTCATAGAACAGATTGAGAAATATTTTCCTCTTTTCTGGATCAGTTTGTATCAGAACTGGTATTTTCCCCTTAAATGTGCCATAGAATTTTCTGGTGAAGCCATTTGTGCCTATAGTTTTCTTTGTGAGTTTTTTACCGACGCACTTAATTTCTTGAGTAGATTCCAGACTATAGAGACTCTTTTTCCTTGAGCAGAGTTTGTATTTTTTAAGGAATTTCCTCCAAGTCATCATATTTATTGCAAATTCATTTATTGTTTATAATACTCCCTTATCCCTTTGGTGTCTGCAGCTTGCAGTCATCATGCCTTTATCACTTCCTGTGTCGGTCGTGTGTGTCTAGGCCGTCTGCGCCCCAGACCTGCACAGGCGTGTCACGCAAGGTCTTGGGGGCCAGAGCTTGGTTTCACTGACGTTCTGCTCTCTGCTCAGGGCGCCTATTCTGATCTTTCTTTTCCTTTCCGTCATAGTTTCTTAAGGTTGATGCTGAGCTCGTTGTTCTTCTTACCCAGGTGTTGGCACTGCACACTTCTTGCTGAGGGCTATTTCCGTGGCATTCCCCAAATTTTGATATGTTGCTTTTATCTTCATTCAATTCCAAGTAACTTGTCATTTCTGTTTTTATTACTTTTTGACCCATAGGTCTTTATTTATTTTTAAGATTTATTTATGCATACAGAACTGGGGTGCAGGCCTGAGGGGTGGAGGGTGAGAGGATTCGCCAGAGACAGAGCAGGGAGCAGAACAGGCAGATTGACTGAAATACACTGCTGAAGGGAGCAGCGGGCGAGTCAGGAGAGGTCTGCTGTGCCATGTGGGTAGCTCCCTGGCCGGGGATTGAACTCGTGCTGCAGAGGCTGCAGATAGCTTCATAGGTTGCGTCTTAATCCCTTGCGCCACCAGGTAGGCGCCCCCATAGGTTTTTAAATACATGTTAATACATATTTACTTTCCAAATATTTGGGCATCTTCACAAGATGTATGCGTGAACCTCAAATCCCTTTGGGTTTGCTGGCTCAGAACATGGTAGCCTTGATGAGTGTCCTGCGTGCCCTTGAGGACCATGTGCATCCTGCTCTTGTTGGGCAGAAGTTCCTGAAGTGTCAGGCCAGGTAGTAGTGGTGACTTTTTCCACATCCAAGCTGATTTTCTGTGTTCTAGTTCTGTTGCTTACTGAGAGGAATGTTAGACGCCTCCAGCTGTCACTGTTGAAATGTCTCTTCCGTTGCCAGTCTTGGCTTTCTCCGTGTTGAGGTTTTGCTGTCTGCTGCCCACACTAGGAGGTCGCGTCTCCTACCAACCTCCTGTTACGTATCGTCTCTCATTTTCCCAGGTGATTTTCTTGCTCTGAAGCCTTTGTCTGCTATTCCTACAGCCAGCGGGGCCTTCTTTTGACTAGCTAGATGATCACCCGTGAAGTTCTCGTAGGAGTTCTGAACCTTTGTATGGAATGACACAAAATGCCATCCTTTTTTTTTTTTTCCCTCCTTGTAGCTTCCTTCTTTGCTGAGTTTGTCTATTTGCAGTTTCTGTGAGACTTTCACCCTTCGTGCTGATAGCACTCCTGTCGAATGTCCGTACTGCGTGTTTGCCGCTGTTCAGGGTTCTGGGGACCCAAAGCAAAGTCCTCGGGCCCAGTGGAGCGAGGCAGACACATCCTGTATTGGGGTAAAATGCCTCAGGGAAGACCTGAACCTGTGAGTTCGGGAGGTCACGTGCGTGGAGGTGGGTCAGGGAGGACACTGCTTTCGAAGTGGTTACAGAGGGCCTCTGACGGGGCCGTCCGGGCCGAGCTGATCGGAGCGAGGGGTGAATTACGTTGAAGTTGGGTGAACATTTCTGGCAAAGGGACAGTGAGTGCAGAGACTTTGAATGAGAAAATGCCCGGGGGAGGAGCATGGCCAGAGCAGAGTGAGTGACGTCAGAAAGGTCGTCTGCCCCGGCGGGGACACTGCAGACACCAAAGCACCTGCTGAAAACTGTCCTTGAGCAGCAGGCGGGTCTGGAGCAAGCAGCCTCGGAGAACCGAGGGGGCGTGCTGGGCTGAGGCCTCCTCCTGCTGCGTCCACCCGTGAAGTCGTTCATCTTTAAAGAGCAGTGGCTGCAGGAGATGCCGCCGTGTTGGTCTGGCCTGAGCGTGTTAAATTCTCCCCTGTAATTTCTTTTTGTGCCTTGTCAGTTCTTGAAATCTTAGTCAAGCCCCAGACCCTTCTTACTCCTTTTCCTTTTTTATGAAATGTGGCTGATGATTCTAACTTTACCTCCTAAGCAGATTGGGAAGTCGCTTGTAAAATCCTCTGGAAAAATTAGAAGCCCACCTAGTAGATGGTCTCACAAGAAATAGCAGCTGATGGTTTGAAAAATTCAGCCACGGCAAATAGCAGGTTCTGCCCTTGCTCCCACTGGATGTGATGTCGTGACGCTTTTTTGCTACCACAGAGTTTGGGCTCCGATTTTCACAAGCGTGTAGGGGAAAGACCTGGGAGGAGGAGAGAGGGGAGGAGAGCCTCCTGCTGCCTCTAGCTGGGCGGCGGCAGCTTCTCTTGACAAAGGTGTGAGTGTGTGTTTGTGTGTGTGCATGCACACACTCACGCGCGCGTCTTCTGAGGAGGAGTAAAGTGAAAATCTTGACCAAAATGGTGCCGTTGTCATATCTCAGAATGTAGGAATGCACTGATTTTTTTTCATTGTAGGTATTTCTTGGTGGATTTTCATGCACCAACCACCACCGTTGAGAGCATGATGGAGCACTTGTCTCGAGACACTGACGTGATCAGGCCGACCATCGTGAGGCACCCGCTCACGCAGGAAGAACGAGAGTGTGCAGGGATTGTCCCGGTGCCACTTGAAGAAAAACTGTATTCCACCAAGAAGAGGAAGTGAGCGGACCCGCTGCATTTCCGCCTCCTATTTAGTTCTCACTTATGAGCATCGGAGACTCATCACTTGCCAGCCTGACCTTTATAAAGGGTGTCACAGGGGCCACTTAGTTTTCCCGGGTATGTTGAGCCCTTGCTCCCTCCCCTTGGCCGCCCTCGAAGCGGGGCGGTGGTCTGCCCAGAGCCTCCATCACCCCGGCACCTGCACCTCATTCTGGGTTTTCTCTATTCATGTCATTTCTGGGTCAGTGAGGACTTTTGCCCTAAATAGCACGAATACCACTTGGAAGAGCAGAGCTTATGACAACTGCCTGGGATTGTATCACCATGAAAAATAAAGGTGTGAGGTCACTGTGCTGTATGAGTCACTTCTGATCAGAGTAATAAATGTGTTGGAAAAACTTGTGGAGGTGTTTTGTCTCTTCCAGCACCCAAGCCCCCAGCACTCCAGGCTCCCAGAATGTGCAGGTATGAAAGAGAGAGACCAGGCAGGTCAGAGCCAGGGAGACAGGAGGGCGGTGGGCACTGTCTTCCCCTGGCCACTGGCCACTCTGAGATCAGTAACCTCCTCTGCCAGCTCACATCACTCGCCGCCGCGGGCCTGTCTGTGGAGGGCCGTGCATTCTGTGCAGAGGACGCTGGGCCTGCCTCCTGGCCCCTAGCCCACGAGGCGGCAGCCTCCCTGGTCGTCTTCCACTCTCTGCCTCGTCCTCTCATCCACACTTACCCTCCTGCCCGCGAGGGAGCTGTGTCTGTGGAGCCCGGGCCTTCCTTCTGAAAAGAGTTTCTCTGTGGTCCCGCTTGGCAAGTGGCCGAGGTGAGAGCAGGGGGACACGAAGCCGGGTGCCGCGTGTATGCCCGCCCTGGGAGCAGGCAGGTTTGGGGCTTAGTTACTGGGGAAGGGGAAGGAAAAGCACAGCAAACGGGAGAAATAGCAGCGCCCTTTCAAGGCTGCATGGTACGGCGGGCCAGGTGTAAGTGCCTCTTCCCCAATCACGGGTATCTCAGTTGCCTTTCCAGTGACAGAAAAGGGCCATTCACGAGCAAAATCACGATTTTAGAGGGGCTGATTTTACGAAGTTGGGACAGCTGCCGAGTAAAACCTGCCTGGACCTGGGCATCCCGTGCCCTCCCATCTCCCTCCGCTGCTTTGGCTCCTTTGGCTCCCAGCTTGTCTGCCCCAGGCCTTTCGTCCTCACAGCAGTCAGTGCCCTTTCCTGAGTGCATCTTCCAATCTTCCCGTTCAGCAGACACGCAGCCAATGTTCGTTACACGCCAGGCCCCGTTCTAAGTGTGTATGCCCTGCAGCCCACGGGCGCAGGAGGAAGCGGGCACAGAGGTGCCGTGCAGCCAGCCTAGCCCGGCCACACACTTAGCTGTGGGAGCAAATGCAGGGCGGAGCCGGGAGCTGGGAGCCTCGCAGCGGGGGCACGCACCCCTGTCCTTCAGGGCTGGTCAAGCGTCACGTGTTGGGGGGGGCGTCTTTGTCATCACCCTTCTTAGAAATGCAGACCCTGCCCCGTCTCTCCTCCTCCTTACCCTGCGGTGTTGTTTACAACACTATTTTGCAAAAAAAGTACAGGTTTTATTTATATTGTCTGTTTTCCTCCAGGTGGAGTATAAGGCCCAGCGGGTATGAATTTGATCTGGCTGCTTCACGGAAGCCGCCGCCTCCTTGCAAGTTTCTGGAACATTGTGCTTGGATAAACAAAGGAGTTTTCATTTTTTTTTCCCCCTTAATTGACGTATTGTTTTATACTTCAATTGTTAGTAGTTTGGCGGTGTAGGATGTCACCCCCTCAGGTGTGCCACTGTGGCTCTCCCCCCACTAGAGCACCCACCCAGAGTCCTCCACCATCGTCCACGGTGCTCTTCTTCCCACCCCTCCTCTCACCCTCCTGCCCTCCGGGTGCCTCAGAGCTGTGCTCAGCTTTCAAGGGTTAATTGAAATGTTTGTCCCTTTGCTTGGCTCCTCAATATTCCACAGGCAAGTCATGCCATCCAGTATTTATCTTTCCTTCTGACTGATTTCACTTAGTAGAATAACTTCCAGCTCATCCTTGTTGCTGCAAATGGCAGGAGTTTATCTTTATTGATCGCTGAGTAGTATTCCATTGTGTATCTAGACCACATCTTCACCCACTCTTCCGTCGTTGGGCACTTAGGTTATTTCCATCGCTTGGCTATTATGAGGAGTGCTGCAGTGAGCACAGGCGTGCAGGCTGACGAAGAGGAATTTTCCAAGAGAAGTTGAGACATCTAAGCTTAAGGTGTCCCAGGCTGGGAAACCTCATCCTGTAATAAAGCGAGCTCAAATCCCAGGTGGGGAGTGGATTGGTCAGAAACTGGCTAAAGATCAGTGAGGAAAACTACAATAAAAGACCTGTAGATTTAACATCACAAGCTCAGGATTAAGGCACCAGGGTGTTCCCCAGGGTCCCTGCATAAAATGAAAAATGGAACATCTCCTGAACAAATAGAGCAATAGAGAATAGGAGCAAGAGAGAATAGGAGACTCTTGGAGTAGGTCGTGGGTGGATGTGCTTTACTACCATGAAAAGGCAACAGCTAAGAAAATGGGCCCCATCAGTGAGAGTCAGTGGAATTTAGACTACCAATTGGTATTTTACATTCATGAACTGAATTTGAAAATAAAAATATATTTGCACCAATGAAATATATTTGCACCAAAAAAAGGCAACCAGTTCTAAAGGGCTAGTAAATAAAAAGCATAGATGGGTCAGCGCAGCATCGAGGGGAGTCCGCGGCCGGCTTGGAGGCGTCCCCTGCGCAGGCGCCATCCCGGGGCGCACCAGGCCGCGCGCATCGAGGTGCGCCAGGTGGCCCCGCCACAGCCGGTCCTGCCTCCGGCCCTGGCCTCGGCCCTGACCTCTGCAGCCAGGTAAGCCCACCTGGCACCCAGAGTGCCCCAGAAGGCCTGGCACGAACCTGGGGGGCCTTGGAAGAGGGAACAGCAGAGGCTGACCCCGGGCAGCTCTCAGCCGGGGCTCCCACCTGCGCCTCCTCGGTGCCCTCCCGTGTGCGGGTCTCCCGCTCGCGGCCTGGTTGGTGTCAGGGTAAAGTCATCGTGTTGGCACGTTTGTTTTATTTGCCTCCTGCCCCGCTCTGGCCGCTCTTGGGCCTCGTTCCGAGACGAGGGGCTGATTTTGTGTGGAGTGGGCGTGGCTCGGCGGCCAGGTGAAGTGGGGCCTGGGGAGTCGGGGTGCTGCAGGCCTCCCAGCCCCGGCGATTCTTTACGCTTCGGTCTCCCTCTGGCCTCCTCTCGTGTCCTGGTCCTCTGGTAACCGTGCCGCCTGTGACGCCGCCCGCACAACCTCAGCCCCGGGCTCAGGTGCGCTCACTCCACCTGCGCGCGCCGCGCCCAGGTGTCCGCCGTCGTCGGGGGCGCCCGCGCTCCCAAGCGCCTCCTGCATTGGAGGCCGCAGGTGAGAGCCACAGAGGCCAGTGGCTTAGAGGCGTGAGCATCACTTACCCTGCAGGCGGCTTGTGGGATGGCGGCTGTCTAAAGCTGTGACTGGAAGGTGGGGGGTTCCGGGGTTCCTGGGCGAGGCGTGTGGGCGAGAGCGGTTCCTCCTGTCATGTCTTTCGGGGATTCCCCCTTCTTTCTGCTCAGTGTCATTGCTAGTTTTAAAAAACAATGACCTTGTGCTGAAGAACACATTGGAAATATTTCCTGGGGAGCACCATGGACTGGGTGCCTGGGTGGTGGGAGAGCCAAGACGATCGCACGGGAGGGGAAATGTTGACACGGATGTAAAACAATAGTGCTTCATTAAAATAAATAAAATAAATATTTGCAGCAACAACGAAGGCAGACCAAGCAAGCAAAGCAACAGGAGAAGCACCTCACCATAACCTGGCAGGCTGCGAATTGTGGCAGGGCCAGGCCTGTGAATTCACAGGCAGCTCCAGGTGCGGACTGTGGTGAAGCTGGTGTGTGAGACTCTCTCTGGGGGCTTTATTATGCTCCTCTAGGTGTGAGGAGAGACCCAAGAGAGCACTGAGGAGAGATCTCAGTGAAGCACAGCGAATAATAGAATTAAGACAATAGCAATTGGGATTATTTAGCTTAAAAATGACTTAAAAATTTAAGTCAGTGGGCCTCCCCAGTGGCACTGTGGGTTGAACGCAGTATTGTGAAGCTGCCCGCAGCCTCTGCAGTGCAGGTTCGATCCCCACTGGCCAGGGAGATACCTACATGGTGAGGCAGACCTCTCCTATCTCGCCCACTGCTCCCCTCAGCAGTGCTTTTGGTCCATCTGCCTGTTTTGCTCCCAGCTCTGTCTGGTGAATCCTCTCACCCTCCTGCACCTCTGGCCTGTACCCCAGCTCTTGTATAAATAAAATAAATCTTAAAAAAAAAACAAATCTAGGGCCTCCCCTGGTGGTGCAGGCAGTTGAGTGCAGCGCTGTGAAGCTGTCTGCAGCCTCTGCAGCACGGGTTCGATCCCGGCCAGCCGGCGAGGGTCCCACATGGCGCAGCAGACCTCTCCTGTCTCGCCCGCTGCTCCCCTCAGCAGTGTATTTTGTCGGTCTGCCTGTTCTGCTCCCCGCTCTGTCTCTGGTGAATCCTCTCACCCTCCCACGCCTCTGGCCTGTACCCTGGTTCTTGTATAAAAAAAATATAATAAAATAATTTAAAAAAATAAAAATAAATCTAGCATTAAAAATAAAATTTAAGTCAGTAAAGGGGTTTAGGTGAAGACACAGATCAATTAGGAACCGTTTCCTCAGAGGACAGAAGACGAAGAGGTGACCTTTGGTTGGTTAAGCGAGAGCTTGAAGAGGATGTCCTTTCTGGGGAGGGTGAGGAGACCCAGGCTAGGCCTGCTCAGTGCTGGGAGGACTAACTACAGCCACCACCATCCGTTCTAGACGAGGCAGGGCGGACTCCGCAGAGGTTCCAACACTTCAGCCCTTGATGCTCCAATCCTGTGCGTCTGGATGAGGCCCAGGACTTGGAGTGTCTGTCATCTCCGGGGAACTGGGGGCCACGTGGGGGGTGGGCGAGCTGCCAGGCACAGTTCCTTCTGCCTGGATGTTCCAGGTGACAAACCTCTTGGGCCAAGAGCCCATGGGCTGTGAGTGACACGTTTATGGTTTTCTTCAATTCTTCCATCCCGGGAGGGTACCTGTGGAGATTTTGAGATAAGGACTTCAGAATTTTCTCTCTTGGAGACTGTCAAGAAAAAACAGCCCAAACTTAGAAATTCAGCATAGGGCTTGGCCTTTCCAAGTCGTCCTGAGGCTGCTTGACAGACTTCCCCAGGGATGTCCTCATTCTGAGGGGACTCTCCTGTCAGTCTCAGCACTAGCGGACCAGGTACGGAATGTCACCTGTGAACATGTCAATTTCTGTCTCTCAGCAGAGATGGCAAGAGGTGACCGTTTTGTCCCCAG